AATATACTTTCTGTTGCTGTTTGTCCCCTCCCGCTTAGGTTTCCAGGTCCCCCTTCAGAAGGGCTCGGGGTTTTAGGGTCCCCCTGGACCCCAACAGTATGTAGAATTGCAGGGTTTTTTCGGTAGGTGGTGGGCCAGTATGTTACCTACTTTTCACGGTTGCGGGTGTGGGTTTAGGGTTTAGGTAACTGGTTCAAGTTTAGGGGTTTAGGGGTTTAGAGTTTGCCCCAGGTTTCTGCGAACAGCAGCGCGGGGCCGAAGAGCGTAATCACAGAGAGTTACCGTTGGACCTCCAAAGCCTCTTAACTGAGGAGTGTACCTTAAATCATACTCATAATAATAGGGATTCCATAATGATTTAAGGTATATACATTCCTTTAATTAAGGGGCTTGGGAGGCTCTGGGTACAATAGGGCCTCGGCTTGAGTGGGGTGGTTTTGGAACCTGACCCGGACAAGAAGCGGCGGTGGGATGGGTTTGTCGCTTTCGAAATTATCGTGGGCCGTGTAATTACTTAACGACGAGACTCTAACTAGTCGCAGCTCGACACAGCCCCCGGCATCATGAAGCGCAGGACGTAGAAGTAGAGGACCCAGCCGGCACCTGGATGGAAGGACAACGGAAAGGAGGTGCAGCGCAGGATCACGAAACGGCTTCTATGGCCTGGTCATTTCGAGTGTGTTGGGCTGTGGTTTTCGGTGTGTCCACGTGCTCGTGACTTCGTTCGGTAGCTTTACCTGGGTTTATCGCGGGTACCTTGCGAGAAGCTCCACTCGTGAGACCCAAATGCACGTCCTTGGGCCTCATGCGCCCGATCAACAAAGCAATGCGGCTGCCACAATAACAACTTGGAGCTGGAATCAGGCCAACGTCAGTGATGCATCGAAGCTCAGCACACTGCCAAGCTCGCTGAAGTCCATCAACCTGCAGAGACTGGGCAGGCGGCACTGTGGAAGCAACAACAACAACAGCAACAAGCAAAGGAGCAAGGAGGGCATCAGCAAAGGGCAGCAGCACCAGGATCGGACTCTACAACATCATCGCCACCGTCACACCGCTCGATCCATTGCATGCCAACCCCATGGAACTGCCCTACTCTTGAAGACCCAGGCATCGGCACATGCTTAGCTCAGCATCCTCTTTTTGCAAGCGCTGCTGCACCACACTTTGCGACCGCTGCCGGTGGCATTTTAGCCGACGGGCATGAGGCCGATGCAGCAGAGAGTTCAAGGTTTAGGGCTGAGGGTTTAGGGTTTGTGCCGAGTTTAAGGCTTCAGGCTTTCCAGCTTCGGTTGGATAAAGGATGTAGGGAAGGGCGATCCGGGGTGGTCTATCTTCTGATGTAGGTGCCAGTTCAACTCCAGAGCGGCGTGACTAATCTCGCTGGTGCTTAGAAGGGAATGGGGGACTGGGGTATGGGGATGATTATTGGGGATACTATAGGGATCCATTCCCCCGTTCCCTAAGCACCAGGGAGAAATACCAATCCAGAGTTTGCCAGTCCATCTCCTGACCAGTAGGCTATCCGCCAGTTCGCAAGCATCCACAAGAAAGTTGGATCCTACATGCATGATGGTCTAGTCTATCGCTCATTCCCTACTCCTTAGGCGGAGCTTCGGACCCTCCAGTGGGCTGACATTGACATCTGCAGTTTCTCAGGAGGCAGACCCCGTCGCAAGGACAGTGGCTGTTCGAATATAGGGGCCTTAATAATTAGAATTGGGTTCGGGGGCCGTTATACAATAACTATAATAAGGAACCACCAAAACAGCATTGGTAATTGTATAGGCCCCTGTTTTACCTTCTACGACGCACTCCAGGGAGGCTCCAGCAGCACAGAGGGGAATGGGCAAAAGGGGACTTGGCTCTGTTCACGGCGTAGCAATCACCCTATGCTAGGTCCCTAAACCAAGTTCACATATGGAAGTTTCAGGATTTTTACAGCGCTAGCGAAAGGCAGTAGCCAGAAAGAAAACTGGATGCTGATGCTCTGCTTCAGTAGAACCACATACCCCGAAAATCCGATCCGAGATACTCAGATTATCCTTAGTACTGTCACTGTTGTTATCATTGTTAGAATCATGATTAAACTATTAGTGGTAGGGCCCCTGTATTCTGTTGCCATGTGCCAGTAGAAGCCGGGATTGTTCTTCCCCTGCCTTCGGGGAGATGCTGTTGAGTACAGAAACATATGTCAATGTATGAACCCACACGAGAAAAAAGTAGAAGCACGTTCGCGTGTGTTAACTACTATCAGTATTCTTACTTACTACTATTGTTTTCTTGTTCATATTTCTACCATTAGTGGTTGCTCATAGCAAAAACCTCATACGTAGGAGTCGGAGAGCACGAGACTATGATGCTTGAACTGTGGAGTTAATGCGTGAAAGCTTGGGCTGCGAGGCGCAATTCATCCACGTCGCGGCGAGCCATGAGAAAACTCGCAAACAGGCGACATCTCTCCACTGCCGGAAGTGTTTCTGTGTTTTCCTTGAAGCTCCCATTCCTGGCGTTGGCCCTCCGGCTGTTGCTACTGGTTCTGTTGTTGTGTGCGGACTGAGAAGGTCGTCGGGTGTCCCGGCAAGCCCTGTCATGCGAGTGCCAAGATTGCTGTCCTGACTTGCCTTCCCAGGCGGCCCTGACATTGCATGTTCTTTTTCGCTGACATGTCTAGAAAGGAACAGAGCCTGAAGCCGGCCTTCACAAAAAGAGCTTGCATGAAGGCTTAGTGGTGCGGGGTTTTGGGCGATTTTATGAGAAATCCGCATTTGAAAGCTCTTTGGCTGGCTGATAGGGATCATTGTTCAGCGCCTAGCCTATCGGCTGAAGCCCCACGGAGTTGGGGAAGTTTCACTCGCGTGCATGGCACCTCTGAATTCACCTGGGCACAAGGCGTCTGTAAGATTGGCGAAGCCTTACCGTCGGGTGGTGTAGTAGCCACCGTTGCCTCAGTGACTACCTTGCTTAAGTCTGTAACAAAGCCAACAACTTTCCAGCAACTTTCGCAGCCTGCTTCGACGAGAGCTTCTAGGTCATTCTGCGTAAAGCTGTTTTCGGATTCAGAATCTGGCGCCTAGACCGTTATCGTTCTTAGCCGCGAGCTCATCCGAAATTCAATCCTACCCGATCCTGCCCCTCGAACACTCAAAAGCCCTAAGCCATACCCCAAACCCTCAATTCCGGGCTCACTCTTCTATACTGTACTTATATAGGGACTATAAAGGGGCACTATTGGTGATTCTTCCGACCCCTCTGGTATTAACTATCCGGTCGTAGTAGTAGTAGTAGTAGTAGTAGTAGCAGCAGTAGCAGCAGCAGCAGCAGTAGTAGTAGTAGTAGTAGAAGTAGAAGTAGTAGTAGTAGTAGTAGTAGTAGTAGTAGTAGTAGAAGTAGAAGTAGTAGTAGAAGTAGTAGTAGTAGTAGTAGTAGTAGCAGCAGCAGTAGTAGTAGTAGTAGTAGTAAATTCTGCTGCCCGCTACCCAGGCCAGGAAGCTGTCAAAGGAGCCAGGGGCTCCACTCGAATTACTACTATAAGGGCCCCAAAAAAAGCACATAAGCAAAAATTAGGGTTTAGGGATGTCCCATATAAACCCCCCTTTAAACGGAAGCCCATTATGCTTATGTGCCTTTTTGGGTCCCGAACTACATTTACTACACGTGCCCGATGCAGAATCGCAGGGCCACGGTTGCCAGAATGGCCCGTGCCCTACTGACCGGGCGAGGCTTGGTTTTTGGGGGTGTCAGCGCAAATTCCGGTGAGTTTCCGAAAACTAGGGGCACCTTATTTGGGGGTCCTTATGATAAGGATCCGACCATTTAGGGTACGATATTAGGGTCCCCTATTTTTGGAAACTCCCATTTCGGTGCTTCCGCAGCTCACGAAGTAGACAGCCGCTGCACCTGCGCAGGACGGGGGAAAGGATGGCTTCACAAAGGAATAAGGTTGTGGGGCAGAGTAAGCTGTAAGTATAATCAGGAACCCTAAGGACAACTAGTATTGCTAACGGTCTTCAGGCTTCGAGGTACGTGAATGCGATCAGCCGTACATCTTAAGCAGCAGCAGCTTGCAGCGACCGGCAGTCTGTAAAAATGACCATCGACACCAGATCTAGAATCTACCTCGACTCACGAGGAGCCTGGCTACATCTGTCCAATCTTGATACACAGATTCTCTCAAACTTTGCGAGTCCGACTGCACATTCCATAAGCCAGCAACTTGCATTCACCGGGGACGACATGATGATGATCAAGTCAGCGGCAGAAACAGCATGCAGTAAAATCGGGCAGCGCTTCGCTGCCCTGTATGGACTGAGCTATGGCTCAGACGAATGGGCTTCTCTTGCGAAGCAAAAGCCACGACGGCTTGTGCCGCCGACCCGCCGCCGACCCCGCATCATCGGACCTCCGTTTCTCCATAGGGCCCCGCAGGCCCTGGCCCGGAGGCGTCTCGGAACGCGCACGCGCTTCGCAGCCATTCCCCACGGCATGGCGGGTTTCGGGGCCGCCGTGGACGAACCGAGGAGGCGAGCCGGCGAGCATCATGAGCACTCGGGCGCCCGCAACCGGCCCCGCGGCGCGAAGTGGGCGCGAAGTGATGATTTCCAAGTTCTTGCGTGGGTTGCGGAAGCCCCAACAAGGGCGCGCATCATCAGCATCAGCGGGGTCCGGCGGAGGGCGGATGCGGGCTACATTGGAGGGCCGACGAGGGCTAAGAGCGTAAGATCACCCATTAGTTGTGCACTTCGGGCCTACGTCACACTTTTCTTCCGGTGTCGAGCTGTCGTTGTCTCGGCACCGTCTGGAAATTTTGACCGTGTCTTTCCCGTTCCCCCGCTACATCCGCTGACAACAACTCGCGCTGCCCGCACCTGGGCGCAGCCCCTAGAATCACTCAGCTCGCGACGCTTCAAATCTGGAACGGGATAAACTTTCTTCGCGATCCCTACCTCCCAGCCTACACCAAGTCTCCCGCAGCAGGTGGCGGAGGCAGAATAACATCGTCAGACTCGCTGTCCCTCATCGCCACCCCTGGAGCAGTCCAGTCGAATGGCCCGAAGGTGGCCCAAAGCAAAACGGTGCATCGTCGGAACATGCATCAATAGAAAAACTACTTACAAGTGTGGCACATCAAAAGCAGTTGGGAGCCATTCCTAATGTCGGAACATGCTAGAACGTAACATGGCGCCGGGGCAGATATTATCTCCGTGCAGTAAGCAGCACAACACTTACACAACACGGACAATGCGTGCATTATAGCAGGAGTTGTGGAACGAAACAGAAGGTCCTTGCAAAATGAAAGAGATCCAATAGGATCCGGAACTATCATTATAAACATCCCAAAACGAAAATGACACAATCTCATGGATTAGATAATGACACACTACGAAGAAGTGTAAGCTACTTCACAAAACAGGAATACAAAGCTCAAGGCACTTCCGCTGTCGAGGCCGGGGGCGGATATGATTTCACAAGTCTCCTGCTGATTAGGCGAAGTTTCCAACACTGTCTTTGACGGCCAGGACCCAATCCGGATCCTCCAGAAAATCTAGGACATATTCTCAACTTAAGCCCAGATTCGAATAGTAGTCGTTGCGCCAGTGGCCAGAGCAGATGATTCTGGTGTAAACCTGTTGGCAGCGAAGCGTTGAGGGCGTAGAGCTCGTACTACTACCACCACGACACCGACTGCCACTACTACGACGAATACTCCTACGACTGCTGCTACGACCACTCCTACGACTACTTATTGTCAATAATCTTTTCGGACTAGGACTGTGATCACCAAACCCGTTGCGGCTCGACCACTGGCCTGTGCTTAAAGTCGAGTGCAGAGTACTCAGTTGTAGGCAAGCACGTGCACGTACTTTGTAAGCAGTCATTGTTGTTCTAGACTGGCGCTACAAGCACAACCTAGGTCCGGATTCCCGCTTTTGCAACATGGAAGCTCTAAACGCCCTCAAGTCTCGAGCAACTCTGCCACGAGGCCTCTGCCAAGGGTTGCCCGGCGCAAGCGGCTTCCACGCGCCTAGGGACTGAGACGGGCATGAGGATTTCAATGAGCGGGCATCCTAGGGTTCCTTTAAACTTAAATAAAGGGGTCTAAAAGGGTTTCTATAAGGGATCTATCAGGGTACAATAATATAGGGGCCAAAATAATTACAAATACTATTTTGGGGGTTCCTTAGAATAATTGGCCCCAAAATCCTATTGTAGTTATTAAGGCCCCTAATTAGTTTTAAGCCGATCTTCGAACAGCCCTCGTACTGCTGCGAACACTCTGTCGAATCGGGGCCGTCCCGCATCATTTGGATCTTGGAGCCCTGAAAAGCGGAAATCCAAGAACCCTCCTACATAACGACCCGCAAACTCCTGCCATAACACCTGCATCTCGAGTTGTATAGATACAGGAAATCTCGAAAACCGATCCTTCGACAAGCCCTCAACCTTTCATCCAAAACCCTCCAAGCCCTTGAATCTTGAACCTGAAAGCCTGCGCTAGCTTTGAGACAGGGTAATCGGTTTAGATAGTTGTATCCCCTTGTGGCTCCCGTCTGCAATATACCCCCGAAGCCCTTCTCGAGTTCTTGAAAGCCCTCTATCATTTTGCTCGAGTTGCTCGTAGCAGCTGTGGAGGAAATTTCTTCGGGTGCCGACCTTGGACTGGCTTCGGGTCAAATTTGCTTAAATCAATCTAATAATAAGGTTTGGGTGTAGGGGCTTAGGGTTTAGGGTCCCTCAACCCTAAACCCTAAATCTAATAATCGAGACACTTTCGGCGCTCACACTCGGACGATCCAGTCGATGCATGAGGCGACACTTTGGAAGTTAGGGCTTAGGCTTCAGACATCCGGTAACGATCTGGGCTGGCAGGGGGTTGGCCCGAACTCGCACGGCTCTAGTCCGGGCCGCCAGCCCGAATCCATCAAAGAGTACAAAGGACAAAAAAGCAGGCGTGACCACCACGAACTAAGTAGCACGTGCTTATGAGCACCGGGTCAGACACACCATGCCCAAAGCCTCGAGCCTTAAGCCTAGCGCACGGAACCCTTCCCTGTGTGCAGAGCTTAAGGCCCTGAACCCTGAACCCCAAAGGCTGAACCCGAAACGGCGCCATCGAATGCTTAGAAATTCGCTCTCTGATTCAAAGTTCCTGCCGGTTTCGAGTTTAGGGGTCCGCCACACTGCGGAGGCCTGACCATGCTTTTCACGGGCGCAGCTCCCGCACCAGACCTGAAGAGCATAAGCCTGCAGCCCCCATCATCCTGATTGGAAAATCGTACCCAGCCACCCCCATAGGAACCCCAACTAACAACGCTTATAATCCCTGAAACTTTTATTGAATAGTATAGGGGCCTTAATTACTAGAATAGGGTCTTGGGGCCGATTGTACATATTGCTTTTATAAGGAGCCCCCAAAATACAAAAGGTAACTAATAAGGCCCCTAGATTAAGCTCACATGGTAATTAGACCTTATGATTCATCACCCTGCTCCCTCGCGGAGTAATTTTGCAGCTTCGTGGCGTCGTCGCTGTAGTCGGCCTCCATGGGTCCATAGATGGCGAGGGAGGCGGAGCTACCTTGCGAGATGCAGCGTTCGGGGTTTAGGGTCTTCCTGGCAATTCTCGACGTAGGGCTGTTTTTCTCCTCCTACCTGGCAAGGACGAGCCCGCGTGTTTAGAGGTCAGGGTTGTCGAGTAAGGCCACGTACTTGTGAAGGACCAAGGAACTTCGTGAGCAGGTTCTCTATCGGCAGGGACAACCGCAAGCTAAACCAGATCGGAAGCCAGAAACTTGGTCGAAGGAGGGTTAGGGCTCAAGAAAGGACCCTTGATAATTAGAATAGCGTTTTGGGGCCCGTTATACTATAGCAATAATAAGGAAACCCCAAAATAGTATAGGTATATTTATTACGGCCCCTATATTAGGCTTTGGGGTTTGGGTCTTCAGGGGATCCTGAAGCTGGCTTTTCCTAACGAAGGAAGCGAAGCTGTGTCACGCTAATCAATCGAAACTGCGTGGCCGAACAGAAATCGCAAGTTCTCGTGCTGCTGCTTGGGTATCCGAAGGTCGATCAGCGACGAAGCTGGCATAAACGGGCCATCACCGCCGGCACACAGGGTTTGGTGTTGCGAAACTGCTAAATCCTGAATCCTGATTGGTTGCACGAATACTTGAAGGACGTATGATTCAGGTATCCGCAACTTTAAAAATTACGCGACGGAGACACTGACAGCGGAGATGACGTGGAAAAAGTTGCTGCAGGATCGCGAGCTGCCTTATTGCGGAGTTAGGGGCTTTCGGGCTTCGGGGCTAAGGAAACGAGAGCTGTTGCTGAAGACTTCGCTGTGCGGAACAAGGCATCTAGTTTCTCGAATCACGCCGCTTGTAGAGTTTGAGCTTGGGGAGTACATGCCTCCGACACTTGCGGAGGTATTCCATGGAGCTGGGCTTTCGCCCGGGCGAAGCCGGGTAAAGCGGGAAGAGGGTGCTAGGGCCGGGGTCTTGGCATTCTTGGTTTAGGGATGTGGAGTTTGTTGCTTGACGGCTGTATTGGGTAAGGTGCCTGATATAGGGGCCTTTCTAATTAGAATAGGGTTTTGGGGCCCACTTATGTACTTACAGATAATTTTTGCGGTAGGAAGCAGAACAACTGAGTAATGAATGTGATTGCCAAAAGTGGTGCCATGAAAGCTGCAGCCGCTCCTGCGGCTTTACCATCGGATTTACTCCTCCTCACTGCTACTACTACCACCGAGAAGACGACGACTACTACTATACTAATTACTACGACGACGACGACGACGACGACGACACCACTACGGCCACTGCGGCACTGCGACTACGACTACGACGACGACTACCGCGACTGCTGCCGTTCTAGTGCATCAAACTGCTGCATCTGGTGCTGTGACGACCACGGCGACGATGCCCACAACGACGGCTGTTACCCTGCTATCGTCGCTGCCGCTGTCAGGCTGTTACACGTAACTCTCCGGCGAATGCCATTATGCTGCTGCTGTTGCTGCTGCTGGTGCTGCTTCTACTTTGTCTGCTAGGTGCTGTCATTCTCACGCTCCCGCTACTGCTGCTCTCGCTTCTCTGTCTTGTCTGACAAGGCTACGTCTCGAACCCGTTTCAGCATTAAAATGCTCGCAATTTCGTCTAAACCGCACCAAAACCAATCAAAAAACAACAAAAAGGTGTTCCATATGGCAGATGAAGGGCTGATGCTGACGACCCCGCCGGATCCAAGAGAACCGTTACCACAAGGCAACATATCCTGGGCGCAGTTTCTCTGTATTTCAGAACCAGCCAATATCCGAAGTGATGCCACCCTTTTTGCAGCGATGATGGAGAACGTCTTCCTCATGACGACCGTGAATCAAACCAGGCAGTGAAGGCAATCCCAACCCTCAGCGGCGACGGGTATGCTTTCAACCCTAGGCCCTAGACCCCAAAGCGCATCGCCTGAGGTAAAGCCAGGAAGAACTTGAGAAGGTGCAGGCCCTGAACCTTCAGACTGAAACATTGAATCAAACACCATAAAACGCATCCCATGCTGTCTGTAACCGCGAGGTCTACATAGGTCTTCAAAACCCTCTACGGCATGGTGTTGCTGAGGTCTATGCTCTCAGGTTAGGGCAATGGTCTCTCAGATTAGATTTGTTTTGGTACGCTTCGAAGGCTTTAAACAGCTGCATATGGAAGTTGGTAAGAGGTACAACTGACAGCTGCAGAAGAGACGCGTGAAGAGCACGCAAAGCATGGCTACAGCAAGGTTGCAGCCCAACATTCGTCGACATTCTCCTCTAGGCAGACCACAGAGCCACCACAACACACAACCCTAAACCTTCTTTCTAACCCCTCTCACCTCTGGGTTGTTTGTCTGGTTGCAGGGAAGAAGCTTCGGCCTCTAAGCTTTTGTGTCGGATGGGCAGTTTGAGCAGGGCTCGGGAGTTTTGCAATTTTAGGTTGTAGGAATTTAAGGTTTAGGAGTTTAAGGTTTAGGAGGTTAGGTTTCTGGGAGCTTACGGATGTTTATAACAGTCGCACAAGCATAATTAATGCATATGTATATATACGTACATACATACATTTTTGGCACTCGCGCTCGACCAAGTCAGGCGAGGTTTGGGGGAAGTGACACTTTGTCAAGGCGCATTAGCCTTGGTTTCCGCATTAGCATCGGCATGTACTCAACCCTCGTTACCAAGCACCCAACCAGCTGTCTACTAAGGTCACACCAGGCAGTCGCGGACCGCCAAATCTCGTCCACACGCACCAAGTTTGTCCAGAGAACGTACATACATACATACATACATACATACATACCTATTTTTACATACTTTGGGGTGTGCAGATGACTATATGTACATAGTGTCTATGTATATGCATACATTTATCTATGTATATATACAGATGTGTGTGTGTGTGTATGTATGTATATACATATATACATATATACATATATACATATATACATATATACATATATACATATATACATATATACATATATACATATATACATATATACATGTATACATGTATACATATATATATATATATGTATGTAAACATATGTATATACATAAATGTGTATATATATATATATATGTATATATATATATATACACATACATATATACATATATACATATATACATATATACATATATACATATATACATATATACATATATACATATATACATATATACATATATATATATATATATGTACACACATCCATATACATATATACATGTACATGTACATATACATATACATATACATATCTCGGATAAACGTGTACAAACTTATGCATGCATGCATGTGTGCATGCTTTGCTGCCAGGTTTTTCGGCGGTAGAATGCAGGGCTGCCCTGGCACTGCAGGAACACCCTAATATAGGGCCCTTAATAATTAGAATAGGTTTTTGGGGCCCATTCTACTAAAATTATATGAGGGAACCCCCAAAATGATATAGGGAATAAGTAAGGCCCCTAATAAAGAACCCTACTATAGATCCCTTACATAAACCCCTTTTCTAATTACTAAGGCCCCGGTGGTACGGGGTCCTGCGACCTCGGAATCCAAGCGATCGTACTCGGCCTGTCTCCGAAGCGTCCCCGCGGGAGCGTCCGCCATAGCCGAGAGCAGCTGGTAGTAACAAGGACTAGGACTTCCTACAGGGGTTAGGATAAAGACTACTACAACTTCCTACAGGGGTTAGGACAAGGACTACTATAAGGGTGATTATGATTAACAATGGGTACCAAAAGTGACCACGATGGGCAAACGAGCAATCGTGAGAACAACAGGACCAGTAGCGCGGCAAACCGTGGCATGCTCGTATGACTCAAGGGGATGGTCTCTATGCTGTTCTCCTCCGTTTGGCCGTCGATTTTTTCTGAAGCCTCTTGACTCTCAATACCACAGTTCACCTGACCCCAAGCTCTGCCCATGCGCGTGGGTCCGCGGACTTCGAGCACTTTGAGATAGCAACGGCTGCGAGATCTAACGCTCCTGAGTAGCAAGCAAGCTTTTTTGGCTTTGGGGTTTGGGGGGTTCAGGATTCCACCAGGTCTGCGGCAGTCGGGCTGGGGCTGATTGCGAGAAAGCACCGTAATCTTGCAAAATGATGTGGTCTTCTCGCGTCCGTCTGCCCCGAGGCAACTCTATCATGTTTTGTCGGCCCCTGGGCAGACCAAGACATAGAACATGTCACTCTGAGGGTCGGGAGTCCTACATGTGCATGGAAGATTAATGCATGTCTCTTCGGACTTTTGGTATTCTATTCTTATCGGACACCACTATAGATCCCTTACCGACCCCTTCAAGGAACCCTTTAAAGGAACCCCAAAATAGTATAAGTATAGGTAATGGCTGACCTGTCACAGTGCAAGGATTCAGGTTGGATCAGGTTGGGGTCTCGCCCAAAACCCGATACCATCGGGACCTAAATAACTACCTATACTATTGTGGGAGTTCCTTAATATGGTTATAGTATAGTTGGTCCCATAACCCATTCTCATTATGAAGGCCCCTGCAGTTATCACGCCCAGGCTGCCTGCATGTGAGTGGGAACTGGTCGCAGCTGTCAGCGAAAGCTGCCCAACTGTCAAACCTTAGAACAGCATAGGGACTGGGAGCAGGGCTCTGGGTGTAGGACTAGACGGGTTCGAGCTCCTGGTTACAAAGACGAGGAGTGCTGATATAAATCAGCCGAATCAATGAAACCTTGCCATGGACTAGCGAATCTGCTCCTCATCTGCTCGGAAGCCACTTTGAGATCGACTCTGCGCAGCTTGCACAAGCTGGTTCCACGGCGGAAAAACCTGAAACTTGACAAAACTTGCGGCAACCGGCTCCAAATCATGATATGCATCGTGGGGAACGCAATTCCAGGTCAAGTTCAAAGACTTCCATCCCTAGTATTCTGTTGAGGTTATACTGAAACGACAAAGAGAACCGTCCAAAACGGCAGCCCCTCTTAGTCTGCTCAAGTTCACAGGCTTCGCATGAGGCGGCGGCTTGCGACTCTTCAACACGTCACTGACAGGAACCTTGCATGAAGCTGTCCCTCAGAAGAAACAATGTTAGATAGCAGATGATAGCAAGTAGCAGGCAGTAGTAGCAGTAGAAGCATCAGCAGTAGCAGCAGCAATAGCAGCAGCAGCAGCAGCAGCCTTAACAGCAGTAGCAGCAGCAGCCGCAGAAGGAGCAGCGGCAGAAGCAGCAGTAGTAGTAGCAGCAGGCTGAGGAGGAGGGAGCGGAAGAGGACGCGCCGTCGTCGCGGTCGTCGTCGTCATCGTGTTCATTTGTGGTCGTGGCGCCAGTAGCAGCACCAGAAGCAAAGCATGCGGTGAAATGACCAATCAAACGAACAAGTAGACTAGAGTAACGATGGCGGAAGACCATTCGCATGTGCGCGTCGAGCATCGACTTAAGTACCACCATGCAGGGCTCGGAAGACTTTTCGTAACGACACAGGCTGATAGCATGCTGCCACAGGTCCAAAAAAGCATAATATCATAGTATGTACTGTGTAGTTAACATACAAGTATATATGTATATAGTTATATATATATATATATATATATATATATACATATATACCCATCCCAGGCGAACCTTCAGCAGCCGAGCTCCTCGCCTTTTTGCTCTCTGCCTCCTCGACCATCGCATGATATCTGGCCTCTACCACAGGTCACGCATACGCATACGGTATGGGGGGTTGACGAGTTTAGGATTTAGGGTCTAGGGTTTCGCAGCGTGCCGGAGCCTCATGACAACCACAAATGCAAAGGTCGTCACAAGATGCTTCGGCAAGACAGTCTTGCGAACATCACGGAAGCCGGACCGAGTCGCAGGGATTGAATTCTCGAGCAGGCATCTGACACTTAGCACCATAAGACTGGTCTCAAGTACACGAACAAAGCTCGCCGATAGCCTGGATCTTGCGCGTGTGGCAGACACGGTTCCACCTGTCGATCAATTGGAATTTGAGTCGTCGGGTTATTGCCAGGAAAAAACCAAGCAGAGAAGTATAGAGAACGCCAGAGAGGCGTCCATGTGCACACATGCATGCATTCATTGCTTCCTTGTTTCCTACCAGGGCCGGGCAGTGGGGTGGGCCAGCTCGGAGGTCACAACGCAGCATGACAACATGCAAAATAGCATTCTCCCCAGTGCATCGCAAAACTGCCACATTGCATAATGACGCATGCACCACGAGCCAACATACCTACATACCTAGCCCGAACATGTGCACACTCATACTTAATTACCACAATACTTAGGTACAGCCACACACGCAGCTAGATCTGTGTACATCACGTGTGCATGCATGGCACGTGCAGATGTAAGCATGTCGGTCTATTCTATATGTAGTTATATGGGTGTGCGTCTGTTTGAGAATGCGCATGTGCACACGTGCATATCCGTCTACATCGCGCGTTTATGACGTACACACCACATACGGTTCAAAACTTGCTGCACTAGCACGACGCAGCTACATGTGTATGGGCTCGAAACGAAGCGCTTACATAGGGCTGCCAGTTTGCCTGTATGCACGTAAATTACCCGAAATCGTAAGACGACATACTGGGCTTCCGGACTCTGGCAGGTTGCTAGTATTGCGAATGCTGCTACAGCAAAGCCGTTCCAGGTAACCCTAAGCGGCCTGAGCTGTTTCCAGACACACTCCCAAAAGCCGAAATCTCAAGGAAAATCCTGAATCCTAAACCTTAATTAAGTTGACGGCACCCTGCGATGCCTTTGGAAGTCTTCCAAACACACCGGACGGCTGACATCCACCATGGCCCCAAGGTAGGAAACAACCAGGCTTCTTGGCTCGGGCTTCAGGGATGTAGAGCTTAGCATCAACTTAAGGTTTAGGGTTTTAGGGCTTAGGGTTTAGGATTTCTCCTGAGGGTGTGGGGTTCAGGGATGGAGGGTTTAGGGGTGCAGGGTTTCGGGTTCGAGGGCTTGCTCGTCCCAGGGCCCGAAGCTTTTTCTCTCGGGTTGTAGGCCAGGGTCTTTGACATTTCGAAGTGGAGGGCTAGCCGGAGAGGGCGCCTTCGTTCTTGGAGTTCCGCGCTCTCCGTGCGTGAATTCGTCAACTCTTCGGCGATTTGCTGGCCTCTCTAGGTCCTGAAACCCTGTAATCTACGATCCATGCAGGAGTCCCACACCCGTCAGTAGGGTTGGTGCCAGCTACTCCGGCAACCACAGACCTTGAAGCTGCGGCCAGGTTGCACAAGTCGGATTAGGAATCTGGGGTCGCAGAGCTTCCAAG